TATATATATACGTCTATTAGATGTACAAATATTAGATGTATATATATGTGTATGTGTGTGTACATACACGTATATACATTTATATGTCTACACGTATATACATACATATTTAATTATATATACATACATATATAAATATATATATATAGAAACAGTCCGATTTGAAACAGTCAGGTACATCGATCTATCGCTATCTTACAAAGTACAATACCTGCAACTCTAGAAGGATGGGCTGTTGTAAGAAGATCTCTCGACTTTTCAAACAAAGCGCTTTGATTTCGGATTCTTGTAGCTGCACCTGTTTACCAGGTCTCTGTCCCCGGACCTCCAATAGGCGTTCGATGACGTTATCAACGTCCAACTCCGTGTCAGCCATAGTTGTATATGTATAAACTTTGGCTTAGATTACTGTGTCCGTGTTTAAGTATGTACAGGTGTACGTACTAACCTACTCTATAGGTGTTTCTCAACACTCAATATAACCAGTTATAGGTGTTCCTCAGCTGGTGCGTTATACTTTGTTTGCTGTTGCAGGTACAAACCAACAGACACCCGAAGATACACAGACTGCTCGAAGGAATAAATTTGGCTTTCTCTCGCACATTTGTTTGTGATTCGATGTGTGCGAAATAAATAGAATAATTGCACTATTGCTGCCTGCTGGGATAGGAGCTGTAGCCTATAGGACAGCCCCATACATTTTATATATATTTTATGATCTAAATATTTACCATAAAGAATCCGTAAAGTTACGCGTAATTATTGTACGTAAATTGTAATTTAAAATACAAAATTTATATGGAGGCCTATTATTCAACGAATTATTTACTGCAATTTGTATGCGAGCTATAATTTTTAAAGTACGTTTATTGCTCGGAAAGCTTAGACCCAATTTGGAGTCAATGATTTGTGGATTCAAATAGCAAAACCAGTTTACGTACTCGATTTATACTTTTGACCTGATTGTAGGTAGTTAGAAGGTGAATATATTCTAGAAAACGTATCAAATTTGTAGCAGTTGGAATTGAAGCTTTAATTTCAAAAAAAAACTGTGAAAGAAAACTTCTGTTAGCGCTGAGTAGTAGGTATATTAATTGCATTGGTTTAAAATTATTATTCGTAATCAATTGGAATGGAAGGTTATAAATACAACTGCTCCATGATTATTGATAAAATCAGCAGACTGTCGCAACTTTGAACTCACAGTCTCACACTCGCAGTGTCACAGAGACTCTCACAGTCTCACTGGTGCCGGACTATAGTCTCTATAGTAGAGTGTATTTAGACTGAACAAGTCACAACTCTCAGCTCACACAAGTCAGAATAACAAGTCACAACTCGCAACTCGCAACTCGCAAGTCACAGACCGAGTCAGTGACTCATTTCTAAACAACAACAATCTCTCTATTTGGTGAAACAGGATATATATTTTTGAATATTTAGTTGTGACGTAGAATCCCCATAACGTCATCGATTTTGTTCCTATATTTATATGTATAAAAGTTTTTGTTAAATGTATAAATATAATGGATGTGCATATTGCTAGTATTTAAAAAAAAAATGGAACAAACCAATTTGTCATTTCACCCATATTTAGCCTTCTAAAAATACATTTCACCTATGGCTAAATATCATCCTATGGAAATATTTACATATAAACCCCCCCCCCCCCCTATTTATTTATTTATTCAACAATATTTATATAAATAAATATGTTTTACTTTATCATGTAGCCAGTATTATATATATATTAGTATGGATCGCCTAATATTATTTTATATAATACATAAGGTGGTTTATTTTGAGCCCAAAATCGAGGGGCCGGGGGGGGGAGATTATGACTTTTTTAAATTACAGTATTGACCTGACCCTGTTCAGGATCACCTCAGAAATTTTCTATCGTAGAACTATGTACTAATAGAATAATATAGCGCTTAATACACATGGAGCGCCATCTAAGGTATCAGCTGACAGATAGCATAGACACTCGCTCTACGTACTGATAAGAGATTCGCGGTCACAATCATCGGAAAGAAATATTGGAACTTTCGAACAGACGTATCTCAGTATCTCATATCCTTCCTCGTACAAAACTCCGCATGTGCCGCGTGCACAAGCCCGTAGGTGTCGCGCTTTTCAACGATGCTTTTATGGTAAAATAACCCCAGTCTGTCGTAATTGTTTTACTGTTTATTATTTGCCGGTTTTTAAATCTATTTACATTTTCATCTTCCAACCATACAACACTGAACGTCATATCGTATTTGCACAGGCCAGAGCAAAACTGTCTGACCCATGGCCCTCAAGCCAATTGCTCCAACAACCGTAAGGTATAGAATAGTCATCTTTCTAAGACAATGTTGGTCGAGTACACCACGAGTATAATTTTATATATCTTCACCCATGCTTACAAATATATTCATGCGGTTTGCATTCCAAGATGTGATCAGTGATTTTGCTCTCGAGATTACATAAGTGTTTTTATATTCGATGGTTGATGGATACGAATTGTTCGTCTTATAATTGTATACGCGCTTACCGATATTGTTAAACATATGCGCTTTAGTGGAGATAGGTTTGATAAATCGTAAGGATGCACACTTGAATCGAACCTTTCTAAGCTGACATATCAAGGTAGGTGTTACTAAACTGGGCATTAAATGTAAGTGTCAGTTTGGCCAGGGATATAACTGTGAGAATTCACCATACATGAATTTAGCGTGGAACATAGAAATGTAGCTTCAATATCAAAATTTTAAACCTTACCGACGCTCTCTTTTGCCACAGTTGAAATCTATGAATTTGATCAAAATAGCAGGGATAGACTCTGTCGTAGCACGCTAATATTTTTAAAGAATAGGTCTATAGCGGTATACTTTATTGACATCGTACATGTCTGCACAGCCTTTTATCAACGCATAGTATTGACTAAATAATTAGCCCTGCGTGAGGCTCGTAAGATAGTCCACCTAAAGCCGAGTAGGTGAAACTTATTGAGCATGTAGTATAACTCTGGAAGCCAGGGGTGACCTTGGTCTACTCAGGGATGAAGAGAAAGCTTTGGTTATGCACTCGCTCGACGCAGACCACCATCGTGATTTTGTTGTAAACAACAAGGATGCGCTGAAATAGCACGTGATGCATCTCTGAATAGCTGTCAACAGCTATCGGTAATCCAAGCGCACATCAAATGGAAATTGGGAATGAAGTCTGAGTTATGCTTGTCATCTCGTACTTTGTCGGCAGCTTGTCCTCGACCTTTAACCCATTGCACAACATGCACATCTTACGGTCAGTTGGTGCTTGTTTGCCCGTCATCACATCTTCAGGTTTGATATTTTTCAAGAACTTACATCTATCATCGATATGGTACACGTTCAGACCGTTCTGTGTTTCAATTCGATTCCACATCACCGCGGGTAGCTCGACTATAGCTTCAGATTCTGCGTCGCTTTCGATAAGGGCTTCATCGGAACCAGTATCTAATTTCATAAGAGGCTCGACGGCTTCCATTTGCATGTCGACACCAGCGCCCTCTACTCTTATACCGTTGCACAGCATACATGATTTTCGCTCCGATGGTGGCTGCTTACCTATCATAAGATCTTGCGGTTTTATGTTCTTCAGGAATTTACACCTATCATCCGAATGATACACATTCAACCCGCTTTTGGTGTCTACTCGGCTCCACTTTACAATTGGCAGGTCGACAGTAGCTTCTTCGTCACTTACAATTGGAGTCTCGTCCGAACAACTGTTTGCCTTGGGGGCATCTTCCTCCTGATCATCTGATCACGTGAAATGGGCAAATAAGACATTGATATGATGAATGAATTCTTGGAACTGCTGACGACGTCTTAAACAATCTACTGTTAGGCGCAGAAGGTATATGGACACAATGACCCACATTCTTGGGCTAACCAATTCGAATTCAATCACATGTACGGACAACGAATATGCGCCATATGAAAAATACCTTCCAATTCCGCTACCGGTTCCTCTGGAACATCCGAGAATAAATACATCACTTGAAAATCCATTTCACTGTCTTGTCGCTCCACTGAAGCGTTGTTCTGACTCAGATCAGCTGCATTCACCACAGAGCTTTCCGGCAGAACATCGTGACTGCGTTGTGTGTTGTGGGCTATAACTGTAAGTAATGCCTCAATATTTCTCAGTAGCGATAGCATCTCGGGTTCTGTGTCCATCGAAGACGTAGAGTTCTGTTTGTTCACCATCGTATCTCTGAAGAAATCCATTTGACAACTTTATGTATTTAATAATCTGTATTAACATGAAGTGAGAGAACAAACAAGGTTCAGTGGACTTAAATAGCCCTCACTCGGCACGACATGTTCCACTTACACTAAAGCGAAATGCAACACAAGGAACGTGGAGTAACGTGTATTTTTCCTTCGAGTTGCATGGTGCCTGGCTCCCAGCTTGTGTAACATATGGACCTATAGAATGTCACTTTAATGTTTGCTTAAAATGATCCAATGAAGAGACATCGTGAAATCATAAACAGTCAGTTTTGAATTCAATTAGGAATCATTATACTTTCCACAGTCCATATACCTAGCCCACTATTAGTAATGAGTAGGATGTGCTCCAATATGATTTCATTCAGCAATAACTTTACAAGTATTTAACATATTTATTCTTTATTGTTGTCAACTCCGATCAATCTCAGAGATTTCTACTCAGAACCTGTCAATGCAAAAGATCAGGAAATGTCATCCTCTCATGAATTCCTTTGGCAAATTAAAATAATCAATAATCAATAAAATATCGGATCGAAAACAGAATAGAGAGAACAAGTGAATACCTTCACCAATATTTGCGAATACGAGACCATTAATGTTCTTTTACTTCCTGAACAGCTGCCGGACCTGCCCCTGCCCTGGGCAGCGGGGCCTGCCGTCCTAAAAGGTAAAAAGTCTGCAGACTGCAGAGGAGAGTGAGGAAGTTCCCGCTCTGGGGTAGATCCCGTAGACAGTATGATGTGGATAGGTACTCTTTTTTTATTTTTTACGAAATGAGTATAGAATATATATTGTTGGTGGGCTACATATTTATGAGGCCTTTTTTATTTTAAAAACAAGATATTTACACCGCTTCGGCATACGGCTTTTACGGGTCTTTTTATTTATTTGTTCAATGTAGGAGCTTACCCAGCTGCCCTGCTTTTGGTATATATAAAAAATATATATTTATAAATAGCTTGAAAAAAAGATATACATAAAATACAGTATGGACTATGGTGTCTGACTGCGGCGATGTTCGAATGCCATAATAATGCGGTTAAATAAAAATTAATATGCCATAACTTCATAAGCCATTTGCCGTAGGTCTAAAAATTTGTCTTCCTATTTTTGGAAATCGAAAAAATAGAGGAATGAAATAAGTCTTTATTTATAGAAACACATCTTATGTTTTGTTTAAAAAATATATATATATATATTTAGCTTCTCAAAACTGAAAAATACAGTATTATGTTTTAAAATGGTCTTTGAGTAAAGTGATATGTATTTATTTAGGCTTTAGCCTCTTAAAAATATATAAAGCATACATAGCGTGGTTGATTTAGAAGGCTATGAATAAGCAGAACATATTTATGTATGGTACAGTCGCTTTAAGAGTATACAGGGAAAAAAATGGAACTTAATTTTCTATGTGAAAGAATTTCTTAGTCCAAAATAGGCTTTCGTCACGGGATTTAGAATTGTGTGTAGAAGCCAAAACCGCCTTAAAAAACTTCAGCCACTTATATTTATTTTTGGGACCGGCCAATATCGTGACCTCAGCGGCCATTCTGGACCTTAGCGACCACTCTGGGCCTCAGTGGCCATTCTGGGCCTCAACGGCCATTTGGGGCTGTGATTTAATATCTTGGATACAATTCATGTTTACAGAATCTACTGCAAATTCTCAGTTCCACCACCATGCACAATTACATAGCGGTTTCATTTAAAACTATACACATCAGGTGTAGACAATTACCACATAATCTGTCATTCGTGACGGGTTTGTATGACAACAATTTCTGCTAAATTACCTTTTCACCCGTGTGTGGAATATATGATAAACACATAAATCGCACCTCGTACAGACATAGTCAACAGCTTACATATACAACTCCTAGTCAGTGCAACCCACGCAACGATGCCGGACCCACCAAATAGGAAAGGCACTCTCTACGTGGTTCAGATAACATATTTACAACAGTAACAAAACACCAAGATTATACACCAAAGAGTGAATTAGCGATGGTGACGCATGCAGAGAACATTGGAACATAAATGTAACATTTGATAAGAATTTTATCACATCTCTAGGATTCAGCACTCGCAGGCCATTACCTACCTCATACAGAGGGACCGCAGAGCGAACAAAACGGCGGAAGGGAGCTAATGCACGGAAGCTGAGGAAATAAGTATTGGGGTAGAGCTAAGTTTGATGTTAGAGAGAACTGCGATGGAACTTGGGCCGGTCTCCAAAAGAATGTGATCGAGCTTTGAACGATGTTAAATTAGAACAATTAGGCGATTTGTTAGGGTCTCCTACAGATATATGGACTTTTACGACAAAGGGTTGACTTTACAGTTGGCAGAATTTGCCAAGAAGAAGAGCATTTCTCGCTGTCGGGTACCCGAGAATGTGTACGATATAGTTACAGCTGAGATGTCTAGTAAAAGCTAAATTATTTATTAAGACTACAATAAATACACCTTTCAACACGATGGGAAACCAATTTCGAAAATCTGTTGATAGTATGAGTCTTAGAAATGGGCTGGCATGTCGATTTCTGCCCTCAAAAATCCAAAATTCGTACTGCAAGGTGGGTTCCACCACAAACGAAGTAAAGATTTCCGACTCCGAAGAAGTCTGAGGAGTACATAAAAACGAAAAAGCTAAAAATCAGCAAAAAATATTCTAATTTAGTAATAACGAACAGTTAATACATATTGAGCAATAGACGGCTATAAGCGAATAGGTTTACTTAATAAGAACGGTTGCAAACCAATCGTTTCATTTAAAATTTGTTCAGGTGCAGTCGAGTTTTTACCCAACAGTGACAACAGTCAACACTTGACTAAATAATTGAGTATTGACTTTTAGTCACTTTACCGTGGAGTAAAGTATAAACCGTCATCTGAATAGTTTGCTTGAATAATTTGCTTGAGTATTTTTTTTCCAGTTTTTTTCTTTTTATGTGCGATACATGATTTAAAAAACAGATTAAAAACGAATACAAATATACAGTGCACGTATGAGATCGACTATAAAGGATTGTTTATATGAATTACGCGAATAAAACATGGTTATGTAAACATGCAGCGTTTTACAAACGGACAGGAATTTATATAGGATTCCTTTGGTCTTGATGGTCATCTCGACATGGTCACGAAAAGTGGAAAAGTGCACGACTTATCTGGCCCGAGGTCGAATCACTCTTTGAGAGGCAGCGCGATCCGACCTAGTTGCGAACACAGGCGAACTATTAATATTTCTCGACGAGGAACGCAAAAGTTCAATCAGCATCATCAAATAGTATACCGAGGTCGTAGAAATATTTCACAAAGTGCATTATATGTGCGCTGCCTTCAATCAGTCTCAGACAGATTCGCTTAGATTCTCATAGCTTGATAGTTATGGCCTGTTCGTGAGACGAACAGTGTTGCTAGATGGTCATAAATTCATATATAGTTTTAAGATGAATGCAAACAATAAGTGGCTTCTACGTAATCGTCGTGTAAGAAAGCGTAAAAGCTTAATACAATTGCGGTATACTATATAGTAGATGCAAGTGAACAGTAAAGAGTCAGTCTCACACAGAGTCTCAAAGTTCAATTAAAATTGAATGTCAGACTGTCTGAGTTAGTCTTAGAAAGCGTGAAAGCTTAATATTGTGGTATGCTACATACAAGTGGACAGTAAACAGTCAGAGTCTCGTACACAAGAGTCTCAAAGTTCTATCAAAATTGAATGTCAGATTGTCTGAGTTAGTCTGTCTGTCGACTGTCGACTGTCGACAGTGTCCGAGTGTTGTCCGTCTGTCTTCAGTGTCTTGCTGACCTGCTGTCTCCGACTTTTAGTTTTAGTGATAGATTCATCAGATAGTCCCATTCTCGCAGTGAAGCCGCCATTGGTCCATGTTCATTTACCGGGCAAAGTATGGTGAATATTATCCAATAAACAATGTAAAAACGCAAATCATTTAGCCAATGAAGTTCTCGTTCCACGTCGGGGGCTCCCCGACTTACTTTGACCTATAAAGTAAAAATACATACAATAGATAGTAAAACGATAGTAAAAACATCGTACACTACATATATATTACATCTCAACCCTCGCACAGTTCACGATTGCTAATTGATACATGGTTGTTGCTCGAAACAAACCCAGATAACATACACATATAGTCCCTGGGTCATGCGCATGTAAATTTTCAAAGATATTTTTGTTAAAGATCAGGTAATATAGTGTTTACGTAAATAACCATCATTACAGATAGACTAGCCCCACATTCCAACTAGTAAATAAACCTCACTTGATAGCAAATCAAATATTTAATATTTATTTACAAAATGAGAGTTGTCATACCCGTAGATGGAAAGTGCGAACTGGCTCAACGTCGCATACCAGAGCCGAAGAATGGAGACGTTTTGATCGAAATTTACGCAACAGCTTTGAATAGAGCTGACACTCTGATTCGAGCGGTAAGCCGGACAGCATGGCATGAACAGTGGCGTGTATCGTTTTAGACTGCTGTGTAGTATAATTATTTGTATTCGGATCTTCGAGGTAGCTGTAAATGACTCTTCTTCGATGTCGCTGACCGTACTTTTTCTTAAAACGTGTCTTAGTTTCCCAACAGAAGTATGCGTTCTCTTCGTGGACGTATATACACCACTTTCCTATCATATACACCACTTTCCTACTATATATTATACTTAATGCGCAGAATTCATCTCATAAACAGTTGGAGCGTATGCTAGAGCCTGTATGGTTGCATAGATGTGTGTATTATACATATATATATATATATATATATATAATAATATATATATAATAATATATA